CTGGAACAAGGAGTCCAGTACCATCTCCCTAACAACTCTCCCTCCCAGAAAACTGGAGAACAGACTAAGGAATGTTATTACAAAAATGACTCATGTTTGTACAACTTTGTCATCCCAGAAAAGCCAAAAGGGTCAGGAAGATAGACTCTATCTCACCTTCACAAGTAAAATGTATTGGACTTTCATCTTTCAATAACTGTGGGAGTACACATAAGTGGCAGAACCTAATTTCCCCCACAGAACTCCTGCTACATTAATGACATGAAGCAACAAGAGGAATGGGTAAAACTAATTGAAAAATATATTCCTGGATTCTCTACCCAAATCCAACAGAAGACCAGAGTTTATTCTCTAGAGATGAATGAAATGAGATGGTCTTTGAACTGGACAATGTCAAGTCGACAATCTAGGAAGTGTACTAAAAGGAGTATAAAATGACTGTATGGATATTGAATAATGAAACTTCCACTCCCCTCCCCCCCATTTTGTTCCCACAACACAGGGACATCCACAATCCAAATAGGTTATCTCAAGTATCATCTTTGAGAAACATAACCAGTTCAAAAAGAAAGACCTAATGATACTGACATCGAGTTTCCCCCAAAATGGCCCAGCCATTTTAAATGGCCCTGCATGAAATTTAAAGTGGACAAGTCCTATCCAAGCTACCAGAGTTTCCAACCAGATTTTCAGTCCCACATTCTTAATCAATCAAAGGAAAGCAAATTCAAGTACAAGGAAATCTTTGGACGTTCTATCACTAATATCTTTAGAGAGATGAGAAAATACTATATCCAAGAAACAAGAACAGGATGCTATAGAAAGTAACATTTAGAGAACAAGAAACAACTCCTAAAAGTCTATGAATGAGGCCCCACAATTGCCCTAGTTCACACATCTGAAGAAAGTTTCCAGGGTGCAGTACTGGGCAGAAAGAGCCAGAGAACCCAGCAGCCTGTGAATTGAGCAGAACGAGCTGGGAGATACTATGGAAGAAAAATTAGTGAACTTGAAGACAGAGCCCTAAAAGCTATCTTCTATGCAGAGAAGACTCAAAAAGAACAGATCATCAGTGAGCTATATGTTAAAACATGACAAAAAGAAATCTGTAGCTAGACACAGAATAAAAACTGTACAGCTCCAAAGATAAAACTGAGTATTTTAAAACAGCCCAAGAGAAATCAATTCTAAATCCACAGAGCTAAAGATATAATTTCAGAAAATAAAAACAATTCTACCTTGAAGGCATGTCTGAGATGCAAGAAAAAAAGGTGAGCCAAAAAAAATTTGTAACGTGGGCAAATCTAAACACTGACTACACAAAACACTAATAAATATCTAATTTGAAGGTGAAAGAACTAGAAGAATTTGATTAGAATTCATATATTTTAACATCCTCATGTTTGCAAAGACAATACAAATGTTTACCATTTTTAGATGTTAAGCATGTTAATTTTTCTTTTTTTCTTTTTTAGACAGAGTGGAAGAGAGAGAGAGAGAGAGAGAGAGAGAGAGACAGAGAGAGAGAAATATCACTGTAAGAGAGACACATTGACTGGTTGCCTCCCACATGACCCTGACTGGGGCCTCAAACCTGCAACCCAGCTACTGCCCTTGACTCAGAATTGAACCTGTGACTCTCTGGTCCACAGGCCGATAATCTAACCACTGAGCCAAACCGGCCAGGACAAGCAAGTTCAATGTTTAATTTAAAAGGTAATCCAAAGTACTTAGAATGTTTAAATTTCAAATCAGAAGCGGAAAACACAAGAAAATTCAGCCAATCCAAAAAGACGGAAAAGGGGTAAGGATGGGAAAGAAGCATAGCACAGAACAAAGAAAAAATAGATAGTAACAAATAAAATGGAAAAAATAAATCCAAGTAGACTTGTACTTCCACACTATAGTGGAACAGATATGCTTAATACAAAACAGACTTAGTAATTCATTGCTTGGTTTTACTATACAAGAGACATCTCTAAGCCCCATCCCTGGACTCCCACACAGCAAAAAAAACAAACCACTGAGCTGAAACAAAAGCAGGAAAGGAGCAGGAAGGGTCAGGCAAGAAGCTTAGAAGGTAGACTTTACATTTACCCTAAAGGCAAAGGGCCTGCAATTGACCCCTGGGGAGAAAACCTTAGGACAGTAGCAAGGTCCTGCAGCTCAGAGGACTGCACAGTTGTCAGGACCTAGAGGGGTTCAAGTGGTGCCAGAGTATTGGCATTGCCTCACTGGAAGCAAATGCAAACCGTATCTGGAGGAAGTATCCACAATTTCGGTCTTCTGTCTTCCCACAGATCAAGTTGAGCCACACACTCAACTTAAACAAGCCAAAATGGTATATACATCACTATCAGAAAATTTAGACTTATGAAAACCTAAAATAGTGTTCAAATCATCACAAATAGAATATAAAATAATTATGAGTTGCGTTTTTTTTTTACAAGACTATAATGAATAAACAGGAAAATTAGAAAAATAGGGACTTGGAAGAGGAGTGTATATACGTGAGAAAACCAGAAGGCACTTTCTATGAAGAAAGATCGGGGGAAGAGTGGGCACCCGAAGTGCAGGCGTGGGTCCGGAAGCAAGCTGGAGAGGGGAGTCCATTTCCTTCTGGCCAGTCCGTAGGGTCTAAAAGCAGTGGCTTGTATGTTTTTGCATCTTCGATACATTTTGGAGGTGAGATTAAGAATGTCACATCCACAAGAAATAGTTACCAGAATGATGGATGTCCTCTTTTCTTCCACTGTTACTGCCTTCACCTTTTGCCTGCCATACTAAAAACTGGATGTAGACTATGGACACCTTTAACGTGTAAGACATCTAGGATGTTTCCAGAACACACCAAAGTATCTGTAGGCACAGTCTGCAGGAGTCCTGTTTATAACCTTTGCAGACATAATTTAAGGAAAAGATGATAAAAATAAAGTGCACAAACATGATAAATAGTAGTAAGTAGTAGCTTAAAAATATTTTCTTCTAGGTGAGAAGTTTGAATTTAGTTTCAGGTCCCTTGAAATTTGAGAATTCCCTAACCACCAAGGATTTTTTATTTTTTTTTTTATGGCCGTAGGGAGAAGCGAACCCAGGACTCTCTGGTCTGCAGGCCGACACTCCAACCACTGAGCCAAACTGGCCAGGGCCCACCAAGGATTTTTACGAGAGTTTGGGGTTATCAAAAACAACTTATAGCAAGAACATCAGAAATCATTCATCATGCAAATAACTAGTTTCTACATGCAGTATTCTGATAAGGTAAACTCATAAACAGAGTTTATCACTCTTTTAGATCATTTATTTTTTAAGAATAACCCTTATAATCATTTCAGCCAGAAATCAGCATCTGACTTTTTCAGTTACTTTTTATTTATTTATTTTTTTGTGGTATGTGCCCCTAGCAGGAACCGAACCGGGACTCTCTGGCCCGCAGGCCAACGCTCAACCGCTGAGCCAAACTGGCCAGGGCTTCAGTTATCTTTTATCTTTGCTTTCAGTAAAATAATTCTTTTTCTTTAGTGTTCTACAAATTAGTAATGTTTGGAAGTGTGAGTGTATTTATCCTTGATATATGCTGGTATTCTTATCTTTCATGTTCTCTGAAATTCTTGGCCACTAGCCCTTCCAACACTGCCCCACTGTTCCAGGGCTCTGTGATGGGCTTCTTCCTCCACCCTGCATGTCCCTTAACCTCTGCTACTTTTCATTATCTTGTTTATCCGCTATGTTCTGGCTAGCTTCATCAGTTGTCTCTTGTTCGCTGATTTTTTTTTTCAGTGGTGTGTGATCTGTTTAAAACACTAATGATGATTTTGATTTTAGTAACCTGGCCTCTGCCACACAATTCATTTACTCAACAGTCACTGAATGCCCATGCATGCCAGGCATTGTGGTAGGTTCTAGGTATAGTACGAGGCATTAATTGAATTTGTATCACTTTTTTTTTTTAAAGACTCATATGAAGCATCTCATTAATTTTATTAATTTTATTTATTTTTTATCCTCACCCGAGGACACCCTTCCATTTTCTTTGTTCCGATAGAGTGGGAGGGAGGGAGAAACATCGACATGAAAGGGACACATCGAGTGGTTGCCACCCACACAACCCAAACAGGGCCAGGGACAAACCACAACTGAGGTACGTGCCCTTAGCGGGAACCGAACCTGGGTCTCTCTGGATCGCAGGCTGACGCTCTAACCGCTGAGCCAAACCGGCCAGGGCACATCTCATTAATTTTCTTTTTTTTTTTGGTTTGTGTTTTTGTTAATCCTCACCTAAGGATATATTTTTTCCACTGATTTTTGGGGTGGGGAGGGATATCAATATGAGAGTGACATATCAATTGGTTGCCTCCTGTATGTGCCCTGACCAGGGTCAGGTATGGAACCTGCAACCCAGCTACACACCCTTGACCTGGAATCAAACCCAAGACCCTTCAATGTGTGGGCCGGCACTCTAACCACTGAGCAACATGGACCAGGGCTCACTTGGCTTTTTTTATCCTCATCTAAGGACATTTTTCCATTTATTTTCGGATAGAATGGGAAGGAGGGGGAGAGAGGGAGAAAGAAACACTGATGTGAGAGAGAGACATCAACTGGCTGCTCCCGCATGACCCCAACCAGGGCCGGGGCGAACCGCAACTGAGGTACATGCCCTTGACCAGAATCAAACCTGCAACTCAATGGTCTATAAATGCTCTAACCGCTGAACCAAACTGGCCAGGGCTCACTTTGCTATTTTTTTTAAATTAACAATATTAATGGTACATAGTACTCTACTTCAAAGATATCTACATCTTTAATAGGTGAGTTGGCAGTAGAATCTCTTATTTGGCTGTTTCTTAGTGGGCTGAATTTCTTGAGCCATTCCATATTTCACAGGGAAAAAAAGTTCTTTGCTATAGCATAGGAATAATTTGGCCAGTCTATTTTTTTATATGAAGGCATATAGTCAGGATATCTTTCCTCTGAATTTATGGAAAATGAACTAATGCTGACCAAGATATTTTTTTTATTGAAAAACAATATAAAATACTTTTAGAACTAAGAGGAAGGTAATGTTTTACATTATTTCTTTTATAAATTTTTTTATACTTTGTGCCAGAATTTACTTCCCATAACTAATCTTGCTTTATTTGGAACATTTTACTTTGGATTGCTATATTATTGAATACCTGTTAGTGTTTAATTTAGATGAGCTTATTAATAAACTACTAATCTGAGAACAATGGTCTTTCCCTTGATTTTTAGACCTTTCTTCTGCACATGCTTATTTTTGTACAATGTAGAAATCTGATCCTGTTCTCTTCCAGTCGGCCAACAGCTCTTTTTGTACCTCTTCTGGTAGTTCATAGAAAACTTCCCGATCAACATCAGAAGGAAAAGTAACTTTCTCAGCAGTAGAATCCTGCTCTCTACTTTCTGCAAGTCCTTCATGATGAGACACTGTTGCTGTTGGTTGCTTATGGCTATTTGTAGTGTGGTTTTTGGAGAAAAGTTGCTCACTCTGCAAATTTGGAAATGAATGGAAAACAGATACAGCAGGGTTTGTATTTGAAATGTGGAATGCTTGAGATTCTTTAGGTCCTTGACTCATTCGTTCATCTTTTAATCTACTGTCTACATAATGTGAATAATCCTTCTGGCTAGACGGGTAAAAGGACCCACTGTTATTTAAGCCTGAAGTTCCTGGTTCACAGGGAGAGAGCGAGAGTATCTGTTTGCTATTGGATAAGCGATCTCCAGGATTTAAGGGACTATCTTGCATTTGTTTTGTAGAAAAGAAAGATAATACTCCTTTAGAGGCATGTAATGGACAACTCAAACTTCCTTTCCCTTGAACTTTTTCTCCAGATTTTCCAGACAGAATTTCTTCTTGAATATCTACTGGAAGCTGCCTGAAGACTTCCTGGTCAATACCCTCAGGAAGTGAGCAGAGAGGGAGTTCATCACTGTCTTTGTCTTTAGAAAAATGTATAGTATCTAGTGGAGACTCCCCAGTTCTTGTACTTTCAATTCTTCTAGTTGTTAGAAAATCACAATTTGTTTCTTTGTCTTTGGAAAAATCCTCCATATGAGTGTCTTTCATTTTCTAGAACACAAGGATAAGATAATAATTTAGATATCTATATCTTTAAATACTCATGCTGCTGAACTGTGAACGTACCTATTATTTGACCAAGTGTCTCTATCCTACTCAATAACTTTAATCCTTTTAAAAGCCAGTTCCCAACAACTAGAGATGACTAATCCACACAATTAGTTCCACTATGTGTGGGTCTTTACTCGCTATTCCAGGAAGAGGTTCCCTTCCTGGGCAGCACTGAGGCAGAAGGTAGGTATGTGTTGAGAGACCTGGAAAGGATCTTAACAATCATGTATTCAAACTTCCAATTCTGTGAATAAAAGAATGATGGCCTAGAAAATGATTCACCTAGGGGTATCTAAATATTTACATATATACGTATAAATAGATATAAGTAGATTTATTTATATGTATGCATAGAGCATCAAGGACTAGTTTTCTAAAAAATTCCCTATTCTAACAGGGAGAGGGGTGGGTGTAGGTGGAAGAGGGCATAGAGGGGATAAATGGTGATAGAAAAATAAAATTAAATTTAAAAAAAATCCCTATTCTGAATTGTAACAATGACAGAAAGGACAAAAAATACTTCTATGATAAAAATCCAACATCATTATTAAGATAGAACTCTTTTAAAAATTAAATTTATTGGGGTGACATTGGTTAATAAGATCATACAGGGTCCAGCCGTTGTGGCTCGGTGGTTGAGCATCGACCCATGCACCAAGAGGTCGCCAGTTCAATTCCCAATCAGGACACATGCCCAGGTTGTGGGCCTGATCCCTAGTGGGGGGCATGCAGGAGGCAGCCAATCAATGTTCTCTCTCAATGATGTTTCTATTTCTCTCTCCCTCTCCCTTCCTCTCTCTAAAAAAAAACTCAATAAAGGAAAAAAATGTTTTAAATAAGATCATATAGGTTTCAAGTGTACAATTCTATGATATATTATCTGAATATTACATTGTGCACCCACCACCCAAAGTCAAATCATCTTCCATCACCATATATTTGGCCACCTTTACCCTTTACTACCCATAAATATTTATACATGAATAAAAATTTTAAAACACCTTCAATTCTAATTTTCATTTTTTACATAAAATTTTTCACTTGAATTTTTAAGCACCATACACAGTCAAATATAACTCAGGAAAGAAACATCAACACAGTAACTTCAAAAAAGTGAAAGGAGGAAAACAGATTCAGGCCGTTGTATTTACTCAGCCCCTTCTGTGTACCAGACACACACAAGGTACTTTCACTCATACTTACCTCTCTAATACGACTATAAATTAAAGACCTTTAGTTCTCATTCTACAGATTAAAAAGAAAAGCCAACACCTTTAAAATTTCAGTTAATATATGGAATAAAATTGGTCAGAGAAAAAAAGTAATTTGAATAGGGCAACAATTCATTATTTCTATAACACTAGTCTTTTCTCATTTTAAAATTAAGTGTAAATAAAATTACAAAAATTATATTTACTGATTAAACAATAAAAAATAAAATAATAAAAACACTTTAAGAGTTAATTGTAGAACTGCAGTGTTCTACAAATGTAAAGTATTAATCTGTAGCCATAGTCAAAGGAAGGAAGGACATCTTGTAGGGTGAAATTAGAATGACACTTAGCAACATTTACTGAGCACCTGGTATGTGCCAGAGCCTGAAACAGATGCTAGGGATTCAAAAAAAAAAAAAAAAAACCCTGGCCGGTTTGGCTCAGCGGTTAGAGCGTCGGCCTGCGGTCCTGAGAGACCCGGGTTCGGTTCCCACTAAGGGCACGTACCTCGGTTGCAGTTTGTCCCCGGCCCTGGTCGGTTGTGCGGGTGGCAGCCACTTGATGTGTCCCTTTCACATCGATGTTTCTCTCTCTCTCTCTGTTCCTCTCTCTCCCTCCCACTCTACCTGAACAAAAAATGGAAAAATGTTCTCGGGTGAGGATTAAAAAAAAAAAAGAGTTAATTGTAGATATGAACAGTTTAGTAAAGATGATTATTTTTTAAAGAATCCCACATTTAGTAAATAGAGGTTTGCCAAATGGCCATATACAGGATTTGTTTTAGTCATCTGAAAATATGACTGACCTTTGCCTCTCTATTGCCACACTCTTTTTTTTTTAATCCTCACCCAAGGATATTTTTCCATTGATCTTCACATAGAGTGTGAGGAGGACAGAGAGAGAGAGAGAAAAAAAAAAAGAACCATCAATGTGAGAGAGACACATCAATTGGCAGCCTCCTGCATGACCCTGACCAGGGCCGGGGAATGAACTGCAACCGAGGTACCCTTGACCAGAATTGAAGCTGAGACTCTTTGGTCTGTGGGCTGATGCTCTAACCACCGAGCCAAACCAGCCAGGGTTATTGCCACACTCTTATTTCTACAACTGTAAAATGAACAGTCATATTCTATCAATATTGCTGTTAGAATTTAATTTCAAAACCAAGAAAATTTAAATACTTTAACAAAACACTAAGGAGGGTGCTGATAGCTAATGTATACATTAACAGACAAAATAATTTGATTTCCAGTATCTGAAAATATTTTCATACTTATGAGCTAATCATCATATTCCTGTATACAGTTATAAAGTGTTTCAATACTTTTGAAACAGAAAATCTCTATAATGGTTTTCTTTTTTACCCAGTGATGCTTAAGTTGTCTTCCTGATCACAGCACAATATACTTAAGGCTGGCAACTGTAATATGATAGGTATTACATACACGTAAGTCATTCAAAAAGTATAACCTAAAAGAAACTCTAAAGTGTATCAGTTAAATACAAACTGAGATTTGTTATTTAACCACACAAATTCAGTAACAGTGTACTTACAAAACTGCGCTTGCTAGAGCATGAAGTTGTTGATGATGATGGTGTCAAATAATAATCAATAGACCCTTTCTTAGCAACATTTAGTGCTTTCAGGTTGCAGAAGCACACACTTAAAAGGGTTAGATGAAATGGCATCTTCACATTCACCATGTTTCGAAAAAGTTTCATAAGTATATCAACCATTGGGGTCATTGCATCATAACTTCCTAAATGAAATATTTAAGAAGATAGTATCTGAGCATACTATATAATAATTAACATTCATAGCTTAATCTAATTTAAATTAAAATCCTAAATAGATCTCATTGGGACATCCTGACAGTAGGTATGAAACTGGGACATCTCAACATTAATACTAAATGCCAAATGAGTAAAAGTTTTCAAAAGATTTGAAATATGGGATATCTGGTTATAGTAGAGTGATGACATCAGAAAAATCTCCCCATTAAATATAATAAAACTGAACAAAATTGTCAAAAGCAATCATTTTGAGGATCTGGAATTGAACCAAAGGCAAATAAAGTGAGAAGCACTGATTTATGAATAGCTGCTAGAACTTAGGTAATCCCGGTCAGTTTGGCTCAGCGGTTGAGCATCGGTCTGTTGACCAAAGAGTCCCAGGTTCAGTTCCCACTAGTGGTACGTACCACCAAAAAATAAAAAGTACAAAAATGGTTAACATAGAACTTAGGTAAGAAAGTGGGAGACAGCAGCCTTGTCTAGAGTTGTTCACATCTCCCTTTAAAAAAAATTTTCGTTTTGCTAATACTCACCTGAGGATAATGTTTTCCACTGATGTTTTAGTCAGAGTAGAAAGGGGTGGGGAGAGTGAGAGAGAGAAAAGTCCATGTGAGAGAGATACAGTGACTGGTTGCCTCCCATACAGGCCCTGACTGACCAGGCTGGGAATCAAACCTGCAACCCAGGTATGTGCCCTTGACCTGGAACCAAACCCACAACACTTTGGTGCATGGACCAATACTCCTCTAATCACTGAGCCACACCAGCCAGGGCTAACAGCTCCCTTTACACAGCTTTGATGTCAAAAAGAACAGGTCTGATATGAAGCAGAGGGCAAAAGCCCACACCCAGCACCACTGCGGGTAAAACAAACACATTCAGTAAGAAACAACTGGAGAAATCGCACAGCTCTCTAGCCTGATGCCACAGCTGTGGCTGAGGTGAGTGAAGATCAGTGGAGCAGCCGAAAGTTTCACCAGATCTAGAAATGAAAACCCATGGAGGACTAAATCAACTATCCTCACAACCCCAGCTGACTGGGAGGCTGCCTGCACCTGAGGGGAGGGCAGACAGGGCCCAAGCTCTCCACTTACAGCCCTGGCCAGAACGGAGCTGCAAGAGGGCCTAAAAGCCAAGGAAGACCTGACATGGCCTAAAATTTTAAAGTGCTTCCAACCCATGCACATTATCTATTCATAGAGGGTAGAAGCCTTCCAGTCTCCAGCATTTGGCCAATCAGTGACTAACCCCTAAACTATACAGACACAGGCATAACATCCTAGGAAGCTAACATATTAAAATTTAAATTTAAAAATCTGAGTAGAGAAACCAGAACAATATATCATAAGAATGATATATTCTACAGCTTAAGAGTCCACACAAGTTAAAAAAATTAATAAAACGCCCACATGAAAAAAAATCTGAAATGCTACATTATCTAAAATATCCAGTTTTCAACAAAATATTACAAATACATGCAAAAATAAATAAATAAAACAAAACAGGAGAGTCTGATTGATTCAGGGAGAAAAATCACTCAATAGAAATTAACTGAGTTGGACATCATGAATATTCCAAGTTACTATTACACATATGTTCAGAGAATTAAAGAAAACATTTTAAAGAAGTAAAATATAATAACTACAAAAAAAGGGGGAATCTCAATTTTAAAAAAAGAAACAAAGAAAATTCTAGAGTTAAAATGTAATCAAAACAAATAAAATCACTAGATGGGCAAAAGCAGTTTTAAGATGACAGTTTAGTCAAAGGATTTGACAGCTCAATAGAAATCATCTGATCTGAAAAGGAAAAAAGAAAAAAAAGACTGAAGAAAAATAAATAGAACTTACACACCTGTAGTACATCTTCAAGCATACCAACATATGTATAATCAGAGTTCCAGAAGGAGAAAGAAAACAAAAGAATTCTTAAAGAGATAAGAGTCAAAAACTCTACAAATTTTATTCAACAATTATTCTACCTGTAAAATAGCTAAATAAATCCCAAGTAGGATAAACACAAAAAAATTCCACACTCGGACATATAGTCAAACTGCTAAAAAAGAGAGACAAATGACTCATCACACAAAGGAGAACAATACAACTATGCCTACTAACAAATTATTGCCTCTCAGCTCCAAAGTCACCCTTCAGTACCTGCTCTGTGATAATGGGTTTGACTTTTTACATTGAACATGTTAAGTGTTTTCAGTAGAGAGTCCTGGAGCACCATTAGAGGAGAAAAGGGGCTTCTCTTCCTGGTTCCAATGTACTGTATTTACTTTTTCTTGCTCCTGTTACATGGTCTGTTTTCAGTACATAAGGCTCTGTCACACCACACATGTACACTCAGTCCCTCAGCAACCTCAAGCTCTAGTCCAAGCCTAGTGACCATGTTACCATGGCACCACCAATTCAAATACTGCACACACCAGGCCAGAGCCATAACAGTGCCCTGACTCCTTCTGCAGACCCACCTAAGAGCCTTGATTGCCTACACCCCCGAAGGGTTGTTCCCTCCAGCAATTCCTATGCAGGCACCATAACCTCCCATTAGTGCTAGCACAAAAATGTAGATTCCTTCAGCACAAACACACAACAGCCTCACCTTGTTAACAGAAGCACTCCCCACATAAATACTGCATACCCCAGCTCATGCACTGTCCTGCCAGTGAGTAAAATCCCAACATCCAACTCCTCCTGTGTGCCCACCAGCCAGACTCGGCTTATCTGTAGATCAGTGGGTGGTTTTCTCTTTGCCCAGTAACTATGGACCAACTCTGGGCCAGGTAACTAGAAGAATTTCTCCACCATCCATGTTCTACAGCCACACCTTCTCTTCGAGAGGTAGGAGAACTGCCCTTTTCAAGTTTGTCCTTTTCCTCTGCCCTTGAATATATCATCTTAAAAAGAGTTCTCTTTATGCCTTTATAGTAAATCCCCTATCACAGTTTAATAATTCTGTAAAACTTTCCCAGTTCAAATTTCTGAGTGGTTATTCTCTCCTGATTGTAAGGAGACTAATAAAACCATTAACAGCTGACTCTTCATCAGAAATAATGGAAACTAGAGGGCAATGGAATAGTATATTCAAAGTATGGAAAGAAAAATAAATACTCAAGAATTACATATCCAGACAAACTTTATTCAAAAATGTTATTTTGGTCAAGTATTCCATAAATTTTAATTAAGTAGAATGGTTTGATAGTGTCATTTAACTCTTTTTCTCAAACACAAATGGAACATTCTTCAGGATACACCATAAGCTAGGCAACATTTGGCTCCATAAATTTGCAGGACTGAAATTATTCAAAGCATATTCTCTGATAAACATGTAATTAAATTAGAAATCAACAACAGAAAGAAATTTGGGAAAATATCAAATATTTGGAAATTAAGCAACACATTTCTACATAAATGTAGGGGTCAAAGAAAAAATCAGAAGGGATATTAGGAACTATTTTGACCTTAATGAAAGAGAAACATAACAGAATTTATGGAATGCAGCTAGAGCACTGCTTAAAAAGAAATTTATAACTGTAAGCATGAAGTATTAGAAAAGAAGGTAAGTGCCCAGCTGCTGTAGCTGAGTGTAGCTGACCCATGTACCAATAGGTCGCTGATTTGATTCTCGTTCGGGGCATATGCCCAGGTTGTGGGCCTGATCCCCAGTGGGGGCATGCAGGAGGTGGACTATCAATGTTCTCTCTCATTGATGTTTCTATCTCTCTCTCCCTCCCCCTTCCTCTCTAAAATCAATAAAGAAAAAAAAAAAAAACAGAAAACAATGACAAAAAAAGGTGGACCTCAAAGAAAGGTCAACAAAATTCACAAATCTTTGCTAGAAAGACAAAGGAAAAAAGAGAATTACCAAATTACCAAAATCAGGAATGAAAGAGGAATATCACTATAGACCTCACAAAAACTAGAAGAATTATAAGGGAATAGTAACAACTTCATGACAACAAATTAGACAACCTGAATGAAATGCATACATTTCTAAAAGACACAGATTACTACAACAGATTCAAAATAAATTAGAAATCTGCATAAACTTTTAACAAATAGAGAAATCAAATTCTTACTTTAAAATCTTTCTACAAACAAAAGCCCATGAATAGCCAAAACAACTCTGAAAAAATTACAGCTGGAGAACTATCCATAAAAGAAATATAAACACAATGAAATACCACTACACGGCTACAAGAATGACTTTCATAAAAGAAACTGACAATACTAAATGTTGGTGAGAATCTGAAAAAACTGAAACATTCATACACTGTTAGTGAGAATGTAAATTGTTATACTCAGTTTGGAAAGAATTTGGCAGTGTCTTAGAGTTGAACTTACCATACAAGCCAGCAGTTCCACTTCTTGTAACCCACCCAAGGTAAACAAAAGCATATATCCGCCCAATGACTTGCCAGCATCATTCTTCATAATGGCCAAGAAAATGGAAACAATCTAAATATTCTTAAAGAAGTTATCTCAAGCCAAATAATTATGGTAGTTTTGTTTTCTCTGAACTTGGGAAAAATTCTTAACTGAGTCTTTACTTTTATTATCTATAAAAAAAACAACAAAGTTTTCCAGTGAAAATTTGATAGAATAAAGGGATTTCATAACTCACTAACTCTCTGTGAAGACCCTCTATCTATGGATCATATTTCTAATTCAAAGTTTGCTTTTTTAGGAGTCCAACCTGCCAATTAGATTATTAGGAAATTAGTCCATACCTGTCCCTAACTTCTGAATTATGTGTGATGGAATGGGACACTGACGACTCTCACGGCTACCGTGCTTCTCAGGTGAATACCGGCGGATTATTAACCTTATTGTATGTGGCTTCCTTCCATCTCGGCATACTCTAAACATAAAGAGAAAGGGAAAACAAGTAATCCCTAAAGATTTTTAAAAATTGTGTAATATACTTAATTTATCTAAAGGTGTCAGACTTAATTAACTATAACAATAATAAATACAGTTGATAACTAGGCAGCAAAGCAATAAAGGTCCCTGAATAGCCCAAATAATCTATACACTATAGCTCTGAAATTTTTTTTAAAGCACCATGAACTTTTTTTTTTTTTAATTGATTTTAGAGAGAGAGAAACATCAATGTGAGAAACAGATCAGTTGCCTCCCACATGCTCCCTAACTGGGAATCGAACCCGCAATCCAGACGTGCCCTGACTGGGAATCAAACCTGCCACCTTTTGGTGTACAGGACAATGCTCCAACCAACTGAGCCACGCCAGTTAGGGCAGCTCAAAATTTTAAGTGTAAGGCTCTCAGGTCTCACTCAGAATTGAGTGCTATCAGAAAAAAAACAGAAATAAGACATAAGTCATTTTATAATCCAAGTCCAAAATGTAACTAAAAGCAAAATATTAAAAACAGCAGGAAATAAACTGAATCATTCACTGACAAAGTAAATGTATGAAAAGTGACACATTTCTTATACATTTTTTGTATAACAAAACAGCCCTGGCCTGTTTGGCTCAGTGGTTAGAGAGCGAGCCAAAGAGTCTCAGGTTCGATTCCAGTCAAGGGCACCTGGGTTGCAGATTCGATCCCCAGTCCCGGTCGAGGTTGTGCAAGAGGCAGCCAATCAATGTTTCTCTTTCTCTTTCTTTCTCTCTCTTTCTCTCTCTCTCTCTCTCTCTCTCTCTCTCTCTCTCTCTCTCCCCCTCCCACTCTGTCTGAACATAAATAGAAAAATATCCTCAGGTAAGGAGTTAAAAAATTATATATACATACACACGCACACACACACACGATTACAAAAAGAAAACAATAAGATTATTTTTGTCAAAGAACACTCCCCAAATAGATCCAAGAGAACCAGTAATAATATCACCATTATGTGGCATATTAGAGTGATAACTTCAAAGATCAATGATATACTATATTTAAGAAAATAGATAGATAGATATCTTAATATATATATATATTATCTATCTATATATATGTATATCTTAAAAGTGTTCCATCCATCCCTGGCCAAATAGTTCAGTTGGTTAGAGTGTTGTCCCGATAAGCCAAGGTTGTGAGTTTAATCCCCAAGAATCAACCAATGAAAATATAAATAAGTAGAACAACAAATCTATGTCGTTTCTCTTTCTCCCTCTCTCTTCCTTTCTCTCTCTACATCAATAAATAAAAATATTTACAAAAATAGTGTTCTATCCAAATGGTCTTGGTTTTGGGGTTGAAAACAAAATTCTTTTTTTTTTATCCTCACCCGAGGACATTTTTCCATTTTTTGTACAGATAGAGTGAGAGGGAGAGAGAGGAAGAGAGAGAGGGAGGGAAACATCGATGTGAAAGGGACACATCGAGTGGCTGCCACCCGCACAACCGACCAGGGCCAGGGACAAACTGCAACCGAGGTACGTGCCCTTAGCGGGAACCGAACCTGGGTCTCTGCGGACCGCAGGCGGATGCTCTAACCGCTGAGCCAAACCGGCCAGGACGAAAACAAAATTCTTAATGATACAGAAAATTCACTTAAAGAGTAGAAAATCTAATTAGAGAAAATACATGTCATTAAAGAATAACACTTTAGCCCGGCCGGTGAGGCTCAGTGGTTGAGCATTGACCCATGCACCAAGAAGTTGCCAATTCGATTCCTGGTCAGGGCACATGCTCAGGTTGAAGGCCGAATCCCCTGTGGGGAGCATGTAGGAGGCAGCCAATCAATGTTCTCTCTCATCGATGTTTCTATCTATCTCTCCCTCTCCCTTCCTCTCTCTCTAAAAAATAAAGAAAAAAAGTTTTTTAAAATAACATTTTACTTTGTATATGTCTGACAATGCATTAAAAACCACAAATGTAAAATAAAAATATTGTACACTGATAAACATACTCAAATTGAATATTTTGAATGAGAAAATTTAGATTTTTGTAGTAAATAATTTTTTTCTTATTGCTTTTATCGGATACATCCCGACTGCTGCTTTACTAAAATAATAAATATCTTAAATAGTTCCCATAAACATGTTACTGGTTTAAATATCTTCCAGTTAAATTTGTTCTGTTAAGTCATTATGCAATTCAAAGATGATATGGTTCCTATAACTAATTAAGATATACGAGAAAAATTTTATATTCTAAGCAATCTTAAACTATTGCCTAGGAATTAGATTAAAAATTAGATGCTTTTAGCCCTGGCCAGTTTGGCTCAGCGGTTAGAGAACCGGTCCGCAGACAGGAGAATCCCGAGTTCGGTACCCACAAAGGGCATGTACCTCGGTTGCAGTTTGTCCCCGGCCCCAGTTGGGGTCATGTGGGTGGTAACCACTTGATGTGTCTCTCTCACGTTGATGTTTCTCTCTCTCTCTTCCTCCCTCTCTCCCTCCCACTCTATCTGAAGATAAATACAAAAATGTACTCGGGTGAGGATAAAAAAAAAATTAGATGATTTTATACCTCTTACATACCTACAGTGTCATCATATACGCTAGAAAGAAAATATATTCACACACACGATTATTTTTTTGCCAGTCACTTACATGGTATTACTGAAATAAGGGGCCATGGTATGGACGAGGGAATGGCAAGCAGAGATAAGAAAATGGTTAATAGTTGGTATGTCACAGGTTAAGAGCACCTAATCTCATTTCTGAGTTGATTCTTCAAATAAAATAACCTATAAAATGTGTAATTCTTGTGATTTTTCTTTGTGTAGAACTTTTTCCAACGGCCAGGCTTTTCCTAGTAATCTTGTATTTAGCTGAAGCCAAGCAGATGACCCAGTTTCACAAGCATGTTCATGGGCCCTGCCTGAGTCATACCCCTGGAGCTGGGTCACAGATCAGCCCCAGCTGCATGCAGAAAATGATGAGTTGCATGGCTTTGCTCAAGACATGAGAACCACACTGCATGGGACAGCAAAGCTGCAGGAAATCTCACTTCATCAGTTTCTGATACTTAGAGTCACCCAAACCCTTTTTCTCTCGCCAGTTAGCCATCCAGGCATCACCTGAGAGGCACACCTACCCAAGACTGGTAGACCCCCTGACATCCCATTTTGAGAAATCAAAGAAATGAGAGGAAAAGACATCACACTCTGTTTACAGAATATTGAGAATAGATACATGATGGCACAGGAGCACCAGAAAGGTACATTTTGTAGGCTAGCCGTACACGCACATCCCAGTCGACACTCCTCATGTGCTTGTAGACCAGCGGCCCGCACACCCACATCTCTCTCACTGCTCACACGCAGCCCCATTTGGCTCTTCTCTGACTCCATTTTCTTTCACGTAGTCTAAGACAAAGGAGATATGAGGATTCTTCTCTTTCTCCATCATTGTTGCTCTTAATAACTACCTATCCTCAACCAATACAAATTTATAGGTGTAGAGATCGTAGAGATATCCATAAAACCTCTTAGGTAACAATCAGCAGCTTAAGATCCACAGTATAACCACAATGATACCAAAAACCAATGGAACTAAATGGATTAAATTTAGTTAAGAGCATCTATTACTACCTTTGCAGTAGTTTATAATGTAGAGAAATTCAGTGATAAATGGTCTATCATTACACTGTTTAGTCTCCAGTTAATCTGTAAATTCCAAGACAGAACATCAAGCATTCTTTCCATATTCTATGTACAGAATATGTAGGATATGGCAAAATGGAAGGTCACCTGTTCAAAAGACTAGCAAGTAATTCTTCAATCTTACTTTTAGCTTCGACTTCTGATGAACATTTAAATGAATCTTCTTCACTAAAGGACTACCAAAGAAGCACAAATAGGGATTACTGTAAAGCCAAATAAGCATATCCAATTATCAGTATTATGTCAAGTAAAGCAACACATTCTTGACTAACTTACCTCTGATGCTTAGTTTTAGCCCTTTAGTTCACTTTTATATTTTAACTCTTTTTATCTGCAAGTTAACTGTACTCCACTAGAACAAGTGCAATGGAAGTTAAGAACATTATAAAGTTCTAGTAGTAACTCCGAGCTTCACTGTGTGATTACAGCAAGGCTCTCAATCTCCTAAGACTTGAATTTAGCCTTGGGCAAGTTATTTAACCTTTCTAAAGTACAGTATCCTCATCTTAAAAAAAGAACAGGAGGGAAAGCAAGAGAGGGGAAAAGGTCCAAACAAACAATAGAAGGTTTGTGAAAATTAAATGGACTAATATATAGAAAGTACTTAGTAAAGTGCCTGTCACATAAAAAAGTCAATCAATGTGAACTGGGTGATTATACCTTTCTCCATTTCCTAAATTATTAGACTACTCTAAAATCAAGACTTTCAAAAAAATTAAAATATTTTGCCTCATATATGTAATATAGGTTATTGACTAACCTGAGACTGAAATACTAATTCCTAGATTCAATTTAAGAATATTTATTAATCTATTATAATAAATTAGCCTCCTCATAGGAAAGGGATCATGTATTAACAAGCAAACTAGAATAGTATAAACATAGCAATATACTAGAAATCTTTATCTCGAATAATGTGACAATCAGTACTCAAGTAAAATATCATTATCATGCACCTGAGGTGGTCCTGAGGGTGTTACAGGAGAGTTATCCTCTCCAAAACTGAGCTTCTGGATACGCTGAGCAACTGTAATTCCTAATTCCTTTTCCAATATTTTGGATGAAAAGGTTTGAAGATCATACACACTACTGATACCCAGTGCTTCAAGGCGTTTGGAGGTTTTATAGCCAATACCTAAACAAAAAGAAATGCATAGGGTGTTACAATAGTTTTTCTCCTTAAAATAAAGCTAATTAAAATATTATAATTACTATGTCAACCATATCTTTAAATTCCATAATTAACATATTGCTAAGATCAAACGTTATTGAAAATTAGATTGTTCTTCTGCTCAGGGCCTATGAGTTATACGAACCACTCTGAAAACCTAATAGCCCCAATATACCTAATATACTATAATAACTGTAGAGATAACCAATACACTCTGTCTTGATAAAATGAAATGTTTACCACCTGTTATATGCCACTGTGGAAGTATTCAAGAATCATGGTGATTATTCAAATAAAGAAAGACTGTCACCAAAGCAATTAAAATGAATTAGCATGTGCTGAGTAGAAATCTGATTTCTATACACACATCACACAGTTATCTATAAGTCATATCTGGCAATATTTACCATCTAAATACAACTAAGAGCCAGAAAGCAAACCAAATAAATATATACAAAGATATATTCTCATTAGCAAAACTCCTATCATACAGTTTTTTTCAGGAAAATTCAGTCATATTTTATCACAGGAAACATTTTCAGGCAATTTAGTGCCCTTTACTCCTATCATTTTTTTTAAAAAATGAATTCTACAGTTATCTGGTTTCCTTGAATAGTTAAAAGAAGTAAATCAAAGTGATGGGTGTGTAGGGTAAACTATTACAGTGGAGTGACATATTTACACAGATGAAATAAAAAAGGTTAGCAAGTTGGCAATAAGGAAGAAAAAAGAAAGCCTGTAAAAAAATAAATAAATAAATAATTCAAGGTAAAGCCCAATAATAGTGTTAAATATCAGTATACAGTCCTCAATGTAACCTGACACAGTAACTGTTCTTCAGAACAGACTTGGGTTCATACAAAAAGTTAATGACTGTTTACTTAGGGAAGGCAAGGCAGTATGTAACACATTTTGGAATCACATAAACATGGGTTAAAAACATGGAGTTATCGTCCTGGCCAGTTTGGCTCAGCGGTTAGAGCATCGGCCTGCAGTCCCAAGAGACCCGGGTTCGGTTCCCGCTAAGGGCATGTACCTCGGTTGCAGTTTGTCCCCGGCCCTGGCTGGGTCAAGCAGGTGGCAGCCACTCGATGTGTCCCTTTCACATCGATGTTTCTCTCTCTCTTCCTCTCTTTCCCTTCCACTCTATCCGAACAAAAAAATGGAAAAATGTTCTCAAGTGAGGATTTAGAAAAAAAAACCCATGAAGTTATGACATCTAAAGATTAAGTTTTAGCTGTCAAAGAAATTCACTTCCATAAAATTCTATTATAACATCTTCATCCCTGGCAATGCCACAGAAATGAAGTTTAACATATCTGTTATTGATGGTCTATAAAAATATAAGTATTTGATTTTCAATGATACAAACTTGCCCCATGACCTGAAAAGATCACAGAACCCTTCAAGAAAATCAGTTTCCTCATCTTTAAAATATAAACTTCGCCTAAATGCTTTGGAAGATCCCTTGTAGCCTAAGATTTTATATATAATCCCCAAATACAGTTAGTAAAAGACCAGCTCCCCTCTCCTTTAGATGCAATGTACAAAATAAGAGTATGAACCAGGGATTGGAAGTAAAGGACTATACGCTTCCAGGTTATAACTTTCACGATCATATTCAAACTACACAAAAGTAGGTGAAACTAGAAAAGTACTTTCATGTATTTCCTAATACAGATTCCCTCCAGAAAACATTAGGTTGTTGGGTTTTCTCCAAGAGCCCAAAACATAGGCTCTACCAGCTAATTACATGTATCTATAATTTTTAAATTAAAGAAATACAATAAAATATATTTTTTAAATATATTTGTCTTACCAGGCATTTCCTTTATGTGTTTCAAACTATGAATGAGAGCTTGAGAACTTTCAGGTAATAAGACTGTTTGTTGATTTGGTTTAAAGACACCACAAACCAATTTTGCCAGTAATTTATTGGAAGCCACTCCAGCACAGCCAGTGAGCCCCAGCTGATTATACATGGCTTCCCGCATCTCTGCTGCAATCTGAGATCCAACAAGCAGTCTGATGTGCAGGCCGTCATTCAGGTTTATAGCTACAAAAACAGCCAATGTCATTAAAAGTCACCATAAAAAAATTTCATTTCCGTTTCTACAAATGAGTTTTAAAAGGGTACAGGGTTTATTTAACCTATATTCAATGCCCTCCCCCCCACCACCACCACCACACTGCCACCCACTGCACCAATCTGCTTTGTTCTTCACAGGAATTCTGCAAAGTACAGGGCGTGAGCTCCAAAGGCCTGTGACAGAGAATGCACAGGAGCGCTTGCTTACTGATGAACAGAATATGAAAACTGATCTCTCTTAAATTCCTACTGACATTAGTAAAACTTTTATTCATGTTTACCTGTGTAAGCATAAAAGTATTACATTAATAAGAAAGCTAACATTACAATTTTCAAGATCTGAATCTAAACTTTACATGAGCTATATGAAAAACAATTTTAGGTCTGTCCATATTTTAAGAGATCTTTTATGAAAAGTGTAAGAAAATTATCTACAAATTTTCTTAGGTGTGAAAATGATATTAGTTATATGAGACGATTCTTATTCTCAGGAGTATTTACAAAGGAAGTGTCATATCAATAATTTACTTTCAAATGGCTCATCAGTCAACCAATCAATAAAGAGCAAGATAAAGCAAATGTGGAAAAATGGTAACAACAGGTGTATCGACAAAGAGGGTATAATGAGTGTTCTCGTTGCATTATATTCTGTCAGTTTTCCTGTAGGTGTAAAATTGTTTCTACAAAATTTTGTGGGGAGGAGAAAGAATTCATGAAAAATCGATATTTTCTTTTTAGGATATAAAACTAGTTCTCTGTACTATGTTCTAACCAATAAAGCCTGAGTTGCCTTGGCCAGTTTGGCTCAGCGGCTGGAGCATCGGCCTGCGGACCAGAGAGTCCGGGTTCGGTTCCCGATAGGAGCACATACCAATAAAATAAAATAAATAAAATAAAGCCTTAGTTTACTTTAAGAATTACACAGAGCCCTGGCCAGTTTGGATCAGTGATTAGAGTTTCAGCCTGCGGTCCAGAGAGACCCGGGTTCAGCTCCCGCTAAGGGCACGTACCTCGGCTACGGTTTGTCCCGGGCCCTCGTTGGGTCGTGCGAGTGGCAGCCACTCAATGTGTCCCCTTCATGTCAATGTCTCTCTCTCTCTCTCTCTCTCTCTCTCCTTCCCTCCCTCCCTCCCTCCCGCTCTATCTGAACAAAAAATGAAGGAATGTCCTCGGGTAAGGATAAAAAAAAAAAAGAATTACACAGAAACAGCCCAGCTGGTGTGGCAGTGGTTGAGCACTGACCCATGCACCAAGAGGTCACCAGTTCAATTCCTGGTCAGAGCACATGCTCAGGTTGTGGACCAAATCCCCAGTGGGGGGCATGAAGGGGGCAGCCGACTGATGTTCTCTCTCATCCATGTTTCTTTCTCTCTCCCCCTCTAAAATCAATAAAAAATAAAAATAAAAAAAAGAATTACACAGAAACATATTTGGAACCTTCTTGCTACTTAGTTTTTGTAAGTGACAAAAGATCACAGGTATAAGAGATAGGAAAGCTTCACGTCTGCTTCTAGAAGAGAAGTGTAGCTCTCCCCCTTTTCTTTAATATCGGGGAGGTGGAGGATTAGATGGGAGATTGATCACCAGCTCTCAAAAAGCGGGGATAAGAGGAAGCGTATGCTGAGACCTAGGAGCAAGGTGGTCAGGGCAAGCGTTACACAAAAGCAGAGCAGTTGTCCTCTATGTGGTATGATGTGGAAGTCACAGCAGAGTCACAAGATGTTTCAAAGTCTAGTCACTGGAGCTTACTGCAGCTTATTTTCAAATGCAAAGATCCCTGGAAATACCATCAGTCACTTAAACTTTAGTATTTGAAGATGAACCATTGTTTTCATGCAAAGGGATGGCAAGATCATCTGAACTAATTAAACAGGAGCTTGCAAACGATGGCAGGAAGGCCTGGACAAGCTTCCATAAGGGTTAACTCAGGAAGTGAGGGGGCAGCATGAGGGTCTTGGTGCCTGGGGGAATAGAAGAGGCAACAAAGGCAAGTTTCATCTACCTGAAAATTTTGCTTAAAGATAGTTTTAAGAGAATCAAAAATTATTCTAAAAAGTGTATTACCAAGCCAATTCTTGTAACTTAAGGATGACCTAAAGAGATATGACATTTAAAAATGGTATTGCGCAGACTGTGTCAGAGAAATGAAAAGTGCTCTGAGCAACACTAATTTTAGTCATCTTGGACAGACTACTGAAATACGGCTATACCTCCAACAAAAGCCACAACATTTTCAGAAAGTAATTAAGTCACTGAATTCATGGATCATTAAGCCAAAGAACATACAGGCACAGAAACAGGATGGTGATGGCAGGAGGGAAGGAGGTAGGCAAAGGGAGGGAAAATGGGGACATCTGTAACAGTGTCAACAATAATAAAGAAAGAACAAAAAGTATTACAGAAAAGAAATGACCAACAAAAAGAAATATATGTACTTGAAAATTGCAAGTATAATAAATGAAGAACCACTTACACTGATTATTGTACACATGACCGGGCCCAGTCAGTGCTGCAAGGTCGTCACTTTGAAGCTGCTGTAGTCTCTTCTCAACCATTTCTGTTAGATCCACAAAATTTTCATCAAATCCAAGTCTCTCAACAACTGGACTAAATTCTTCCAACAACTCTAAATTTAAATAACATTGGAGCACAGATGTAACTGAAGTTATAACTAGAATAAATTAAACTATTTTATGCTTACCTCAAATATGTTGTTAAAGGTTTTACATATATTCACAGTTCCATAATATATTTAATAAAGTCCTCAGTTAACTGCGATTTTTTTTCTGCACCATACTTTGAGTAAAGGCAATATTTTCCCAGTAAAATAAGTCCAAAAATGATTTCCTGGGCAGATACTCATAGCCACAGATTTAGTACAATCTCCTATACTTATCACTTCTATATCTGTAGTACATTAAATATCAATGCTTACAGTTAATTATGATCTTAAAGCAGTGAGTCAAAGAATAAATTGTAGTCTGTCTAGAATAGTAAAAACAAGTAATAATATATTCTAGCTATATTTTCCACAGGAGTTTTTAAAGGCAAAACAAAGCAAAATTTATAATTACTAAGTATAATAAGTAAAATTTATAATTTCCGGTTATTACTGAACCTAAAAGAAAACTCACTTAATTTTCAAAATACATCACAATCCAAGATTTTAATTAGTCATTTCTCAGCTTATTCCTTAAGGGCAACGAAGGATCATGATTTTATTTTTTTTTCTTTACTGATTTTTTTTTTAAAGAGGGAGAGATAGAAACATCGATGAGAGAGAATATCGATTGGCTGCCTCCTGCATGCCCCCCACTGGGGATCGGGCCCACAACCTGGGCATGTGTCCTGACCACGAATAGAACCTGCGACCTCATGGTGCATGGGTCGATGCTCGAGCACTGAGCTACACCAAACGGGTGATCATGATTTGCATGCGTTCCAGAAACTAGCACAATACTTAGTCTTTAAGTCAAATGTTTACTAAATTGAACTGAACTAAGATCTGATATAAAGTCAAAAGGACTATCAATTCTCATTTTTAGTATTAAGACTAATTACAACTTTGAAATCATTAAGAATTTTCATTTATCTCTGAATCACTATTGATACCAGCTGGATGGCAGAAATTCACTATTTTTTTCACCTATGAGGCAAAATTTTTACAATTTGAGAATATCCAATGCTCACGTACACATTAGCAATATGTTGAGACAAATTCAAGTACAACATAGAGCAGTGCTCAAATTTTAAATGCAAATTACCTTTGATCTAGCTATTAACCTCTAGAAACTTACCTTATTAATATCCCCATAAACATATGCCAAAATTTCCATAAGAAAATGTCTACTGAAGTATATATTAGTTAAGAGCAAAAGGTTGTGAAGAGCCTATTAAGCCATCACTCTCAGGGAAACCATATAATTCGTCATTCAAAACAACACACTTTTTAAGTAAAAGGAGCTGCTACTAATAATTATGCAGGGACATTAAGCATAAAGTGGGACATACTGTCTTCATATCACTAGAGGACTGGTTAAGTATGGAACAAAATGCAAAAAAAAAGAATGTGGAGCAGCTATATATGAATGACATGTTAGATCACCAACAACAGAAACAAGATGCACAACTCTATGTATCATAAAACCTCTTCTGTGTACACCAAAAATTAACTTCTTAATATTCAGACACACACAATTGTGCATTGCTGCAAAAGCACTATCTTGGGACGATAGTCTTGTCGTTTCTGCATGGCTGACCTTTCTTCCCCTTCTTTCCATTTCAGCATCGGCCTCTTTCCCTCCAGAAGGTAACTAATGTTAAAAACTTAGTATATATCCTCTCATGTTCCTCTTCCTGTTCATATATACACAAACACATATATGGTCTTTGATTAGGAATCTCACTCCTAGGTATTTTTTTTTGGTACCTGCCCCTGGCAGGAACCGAACCCAGGACTCTCTGGTCCGTAGGCCGATGCTCCAACCGCTGAGCCAAACCGGCCAGGGCCATAAACAAATATATGTAGGAGAGGATTTTATGCTATTATTTTAGACATATGGAAAAATATGACACATTTTTTTGCAGCTTAACTTTTTGCTCACTCAACATGGTATATATTTATAAATCAAACATTCTTTTGTTGTTGTTAATCCTCACCAGAGGATGTTTCTCCATTGATTTTTAGAGTGGAAGGGAGGGAGGGAGGAAAGGAGAGAGAGAGAAACATCGATTTAAGAGAGACATTTTGATTAGTTGCCTCTCACACGAACCCTCCCGGGGCCCAGGATCAAACCTGCAACCCAGGTACATATCCTTAACTGGCAATCGAACCCACAACCCTCAGTCCAGTCTATGGGCCGACACTAACCACTGAGAAAAACTGGCCAGGGCTCCAATGCATACTTTTTAATGGCTATTTAATATTCTATCATAGAAAAGTCTTAGTTTATTTAGTCATTCTCATCTTAATGAACATTTGTTTTCATTCTACATTTACCAATTATGAACCATGCTACAATACACATTTTTGTACATATGACCTTATGATTTTTTTTCTTAAATTCCCAGAGGTTATATCACTGGGTTAAAAAATATAATATATATCTAACTTCAAAAAATGTTTTCTAGATAGCTTTTTCAAAAAGGCTATAATACTTTGTTTCTACTTTTTCTCACATTCTTTACTTTTTTTGTAAGATGGATATAAAATATATTACTAATTCAAATCTCCTTAGCCAATAATAAATTTGAGCATTCTTTTTTCCAGATCAGTTAGATATTGTGTTTGCTCTTTTTTTTGTCAATTGCCTATGAATATTCTGTCCATTTTTCTTGAGTATTTTTTCTTATCAATTTGTTAGCGCTTTTGATTATTATATTTAACCCTTTCATCTGAAAACTCGTACAATAATGAAAGAACAAACAAAAACAGGAGCAAAAAAATAAATAGAAAGCTAGTTTTTAACAAATCGGTTTTTAATAATTACATTAAACACCGCAGAAGCCTCTCCCAACTAACTCTAATGCATTAGCCTATAACATATTTCTTCAAAATTCACTTAAATTTAAAATAAAAATTTTTTTTCTTTAGTGTATCTTCTCATTTCTCGCTGTTAAATTGTTCTCCGGTTTTTCTTATATTTACACCAGTAATGACAGACTTCAAACTCCTTCAACTTTACATTTTTTGTTGACGTTACTTACATAATGTCATCCTCACACAATTTTTTTTAAAAAGTGGGCAAGACCCCAAAGCAAGTTAAAGTAAAAAGGAACTGACTTATGGTATTTTACATTTATTAAAAGATTCATGTAATAAATAGGCGTCCTATATAAAAATTAATGCTAAAAGAATATTGCTTGTAACCTGTACCTGTAACCTTATATGACATCTCTCGGTAACGAGTCAAGTCTTCTCCATTAACTAACACCAGCTGTGGACACTTTTCTTTTGCATCTCTAACATTCATAAGTTTCTTTACTCCAAGTTCCCTAGCTTCATAGTTGCAGGTAACCACCAAATATTTCTGCTGAACCCCTATAAAACACAAATAATTGATGAGAAAATGGAGCAGAATTAAAGAAACATCTTAAAATATAATTTACTAGTTCCATCTTATAACTGTCAGTTATAAATGCAATCTGTTCTGATAAAAATAAAAACCTCTATCTCAGTTAAAATTACAGCCTCCATTCAACAAAGTTCTATAAGGTAAAATTTAACAGAAATTACCACAAATCAATAGATTCTATGGAGTCTTCAGCAAAAAGATACAAATACCATTCTAGGATTTTTTTTTTCAGACAATACAAAAAAAGATTAAAGTATTGAATTAACTCCATACAACTCTCTATATAATTCTAGCCCATGTTACCAAAAAATAAAAACAGATGAAAATAACTGAGTACAATTAATTCATTACTGGTTGCTACTAGAAAAACTCACTTGTCTTCTGAGTAACTGTCCAATGAATATAAAGCAATGTTCTGTTACAAGTGCCAACCTACAGCTATTATCAGGGATCTTCTCCAATAAATGTTCTAATTATTGAATATTCTTCCTAGTCATTTGCAGACAATATTAGATAGTGAGTGGCATTCTGAGCCCCTCCTTATCAAAATGATTAAATTATGATCTAGAGAATGTATAAAAATTCTAGTTTAGTGGTGGCTTAAGATTGCTAAAATTTGTTTTCCTCTTTATGCAAGTTGATTACTTGCTTACCACTGTAAAAGTAATGTTCATCTAAAATATATAAAACACAAACTTGTAAGGGAAAAAAAGGTTATGTTCATTCCCTAATGTAAAATACTTGTTTCTAAAATTTAATATAAACAAGGTAAAGAAACATGATTTCACATATAGATTTTTGACATATCAGATTATGCCCAAAAAGTCACTGGGTCAAAAGTAGTTAAGATTCATTAGTGAACTACACACAAATTTAGACAGGTAACTTCCTCAACTGAAAAAAAGTAGTTTTTAAATGTAGAATAAAATTATATGGACTTACCACTATATGTCACCATCTAAAGTTATGTCGTCATATATTTGTTGAGTATAAATGGAAAACTAATTTGCTTTCTCCTAGAAACATCTCACTTCCCAACAATCATTCCTGAAATGCCTTCAGGAGAAAATTTAGGTCCCCTAATCCTAACTCCTTGACACCCTTAGGAAAGTTTAAAGATCCTACACTGATGTTGGCATATCAAAAACTTTGTTGTTTAGTAAATCAACTAGTCTGGATTGAAATAGGATTTATCAAAACCAAACTAGCACAAGAGCTTAACAACAAGTGAACCAAAACTGCTCTTTGTGCTTATACTATAAGATAAATCCTTACTACATGTATAAAAGAAAATTAAAGAAGTTTTTGGCCCTGGCCAGTTTGGCTCTGCAGTTAGAATATCAGCCTGTGGACCAATGAGTCACAGGTTCGATTCTGGTCAAGGGCACATACCTCAGTTGCAGTTTGTCCCCGGCCCTGGATGGATAGTGTGGGTGGAAACCACTCGATGTGTCCCTTTCACATCAATGTTTCTCTCTCTCTCTCTCTTCCTCTCTCTCCCTCCCACTCTATCTGAACAAAAAAGGGAAAAATGTCCTCGGGTGAGAAATAAAAATAAAAAAAGATATTTTTGTGAATTCACTTTTTTAGTTTAAGATATAATAAAAATGTTAAAACGAGCCAAGATATTAAAAGTAAATCCTCAAAGTAAAATTTCTCTTTTCCTTTTATTTAAAAAGATATTGTGTTTTTATGGAAAGCTTGCTCTACGTGCCTTAATATTTAGGGTTCTGTTCAAAATCCAACTATTTTATCAGATGTTACACAAATTAAGAGTTGATTTCAAAAAGGGGAGGGGTAGAGGAAAACTTCTATTAAAATGTAACAAAAAAGGTTGTTCTGAGATAAGAAGATTGTAAAATTTCAAACACAGAAAAAGACGGAAAGTTTATTATGATCTTTCCGTTCATCTACTCTGTTGTCTACAATACTTGCGTCAAATTCACCATTTATGAAATGAGGCTTATAAAGTTTATGCCTGGTAGTGAAGCAAAGATTCTGTCTATAAAGCACTTTAAGAACTGCTTCCAAAATCTTTCTTAACATGGTTAATAAATCAGAATATAATAAATGAGTGTTAATCCTATTATATAGCAAAAATATTATCAGTGTCCATAATTACCTAAAGGTTTGCCCTTTAGTTCCGGATTTGAGATCATTTCCACTTGTGCGTAAAAGCAATCCAGATCCACGTGTACTATGACTCTGGATGAAGAACTTCCTGCTGGCACCACTTGATCATGAACTGATACACAATATGCAAAGAAATACAAAAATATATTCAGGCTGCATATCATCTCTGAGCAACTGGCAGTTCCTTAAAACGTGGTAATTGAGAGAAAAGGAATGCTGAATGATTTTAAAAGTTTTTTTCCTGGATTGATTGTATCTGTCAAAGCATCTAAAAATTACAAAGACATGAGAGCAACTCCATCTACAGAAGGTTCTTCAGTCCTGATTACTTACTTAGCATTTCTTTGTACACTGTATTTTTCTCAAGAAGTAATATATTTGAGGGGAAAAATCTTGATCAATAATGGAAGATGCAAGAGGTAACCCTCTCACTTGGAAGTTTATAGTAAAATTTAGGGTAAATCGGAAGGGGCAGAAAAGTTGAAACACTGATTTCAGCCAACTTAAAAATTATTCTAAGTAGCATGTCCTTAAATTTTAAAAAATCAGAAATGCAAAACTGCAGAATACAGAACACAGGGGTTCCAGTGGACTAGATTTAGCTTCCATACGAGAGAAAGATTATCTGATTGAGTGCTGAATCACCAGTACCTAGCATATAATAGACTACCAATAAATGCTCCCTGAATTGAAAGAATGAGTGAATATTTCTTGGATTTTAAAAAGTAGCTCATGTCCTGGGGAATGGGGAGGCTGGTATGGAGGCATGGGAAAGATGAGATTTCGGCTGTTAACAACCGTTTAAAAACAAGGCAGGTTAAAATGCAATGTGATATGCTGGTTTGGATCCTATAACAGAAAAAAACAGAGTGGAAAAAGAAACTGATAAAATGTGAACAAAGTTAGTGCTGTAGTTAACAGTACTATGCCAATGTTAATGTCTTAGTTTTGACAAATGTACCGTGGTGATGTAAGATATGAACATTAGGGAAAATTCTCTCTCCAACTTCCGTAAATCCAGCATTTGAAAGTTTAATCATTAAAATTAAAGGCGGGCCCAGGGCTCAGGCACCGGGGTTGAGCGATACAAGGTAGAGCGGAGGCTGGAAGTGGGTCACCTGCGAAGCGATCACGCACACGCGCCCCGTCCCGGTTCCGGGCCCAGACTAAGGCCGGGCCCCATCCCCTGACACTGGGCGACAAGGTTCCCCTCTTCTGCACCTTGAAACCGCCCAGGAGCCTCTCCGGCTTGCACTGGGCTCTTTGAGGGACTGCTACACCCCGACCAACAAACTGACGCGCCCACCCTACTCCGGCTAGGTGCAGCCACCCCTCTCCGGGTCTTGGCCCCAAAACACCACGCCGCGAAGGGCAGCCCTCCGGGCAGAGCCAGGAAGACGAAAGAAACCAAGCGGGGCGGGACGGTCGCACCCCAACGGCTGCCGCCCCCGCCCCGGGCGTCCGCCCGCCCCGCCCTTCTCGTTTACACCAGAGGAGGCTGCCAGGCTCCTCGGGCCCCGGCGCACCCGGCGAGCCGACTGACACCCCCGCCTCCGCGCGTTCCATGGCCAGGGCTGCGTCCTCTTCCTCATCGCCGCCTTCCTCCTCGGGCTCCACCCCCAGCTCCTCCATCCCGCGGCGGCCAACCGCAGCGCAGCTTCCGGCCGCTTCCGCCCGGTCTCCAGGGAAACCGTGGGCGACCGCGCGCAGGCGCTGCGGCCATCGCGCCTGCGCGTTCTGGGCCAAGTAGCCCGCTGCCCGGATGGAAGCGATAGACGGGAGTCTGTGGGTCCACGCGCGGACGTCTCCTCGTGCCGTCGAGGTCGGAAGTGAGCCGTTGCCATCCCAAACCGCTCGTTCTGTCCTTGAGGTCCTCGGTGTTAGCACTCGTTTATCTCTACCCAGAGGGCAGCCTGTTCTCCCGATGGATTTAGAAAAATCGCTGAACGTTAGACACGGAATGATTTATGGTGATGGGGGTGAGCGAGGCGGCCGTGTAAACGATAGAATTAGCAAGTGTGTTCAAGTTCATTGCATTGTGTTTGTTGTTTGGTTCAAAGAGGCTGTGCCACATTGGACCCTTGAATTTTTAATAATCTAAACTGAATAGAAGTTTAATACCTGAGCTCTGGAGTCAGATAAAAGCTCTAATCCAGCCCTGGCCGGTTTGGCTCAGCGGTTAGAGCATCGGCTGCGAACCAGAGAGGCCCCGGTTGGGTTCCCGCTAAGGGCACGCACCTGGGTTATCCTTGTCCCCGACCCCCAGGGGTCGTGTGGGTGGTGACCACTCCATCTCTCACATCAATGTTGCTCTCTCTCTTTTCCTCCAACTCTCCCTCCAGCTCTGTCTGAAGATAAATGCAAAAACAATGTCCTCTGTTGAGGATAAAAAAAAAAAAAAAGCTCTAATGCAGACCCATTAACATGCTGTGTGACTTTGGGCAGGTTGTGTAACTATAATGAGCCTCGTGAGCCTCAGTTTCTACATTGTAAAAAAAATAAATAAATAAGCCCTGCTCTGGCTGTGTGGCTGTGTGGCCCAGTTGGTTGGAGCGTTTTCCCATGCACCAAAAGGTTGCAGGTTTGATTCTCCTCAGGGCAAGTACCTAGGTTTTAGGTCCCATCGTGGTCGGGACACATATGGGAGGCAACAGATCATGTTGCTCTCTCACATCAATGTTTCTCTCTCTCTCTCTCTTTCTCTCCCTCTAAAAACATCTTTGGGTGAGAATTAAAAATAAATAATAAAAATAAAGTCAGAATAAATGAATTACTAAGTGAAAACAAACATATACTTTAATATTCCAATGTATGGTCTAGAGCAAAACTGCCTTCCGTTAAGAGGCCTTGTGTGCCTGTGTGTGTGTGTGTGTGTTTCCTCCAACAGAAGAAATTTGGAAATTTCTTTGTGTGTGTACATATATACCTATATTCAAACGCACATGTTGTTGTTATCACAGGATGCTGCTCTTACAAATAGGATGTGAGAATCTTGAGAACACCTTTAAAGGACATGTTGATGCATCCATAAAGGAAAAGAAATAACAGGCAGAGCTGGGACTCAGTGGTTTGGAGACCAAGTCTTCCTCTAAGACATCTGGACCAGTTCCCTAAAAGTCTCCTGTGTAGGATTTAAGACTAATTTAAAGCTCCGCTCCTTTCTTTGTGAATGTTGTTTGATAAGTCTCGATAAAGAGCTTTTGAATTAAGTGCCTCCTTGGCCACTAAGTGCTTTTGGGGCTGTTTTCAAGGGTCCAATTACTTGTAGAAAACAGGTTTGTTTATTTATTTATTTATTTATTTTATCCTCACCTGAGGACTTTTTTTCGATATTTTGTTCAGATAGAGTGGGAAGGAGAGAGAGAGAGAAACATCGACATGAAAAGGACACATTGAGTGATCGCCACCTGCACAACCCAACCAGGGCCAGGGACAAACTGCAACCGAGGTACGTGCCCTTAGTGGGAACTGAACCCAGGTCTCTCTGGACCGCAGGCCGACGCTCTAACCGCTGAGCCAAACTGGCCAGGGCAAGAAAACAGATTTTTTTAATTAAAAAAAAAAAAAACCTCCATGTTGAGAATCATCCAAACCATGGAAATACCATGGCAGATTAAAACTGCTCCTTTATAAGAGCCCAAGCCTCCCTATACTCCACAGCTTCAGAAAAAGTGAGTCAGCATGAAAAAAACATCACACAAAATAAAACCCTCTTTAGTTAGTTTCATTTATTTACCTGTCAAGTGTCAAACTGAAGAGTGGCTTTTAACTTAGTAGAAGAATAGGCAAATAGAACCTTGAAAACCCTGGGGGGGGGGGGGGAGCAGGGCTGGCTTAGAGTGTGCAACCCAGCCAGAAACACAGAGCTCCAAGCTCCGAAGGGCCCCACACTTGGTTTAATGTTCTGCTGTTGTCATCTTGAAATCCTCAATATTTGAACAAGGGAGCCTGCATGTCCATTTTGCACTGGGCCTCACAAATTATTTAGCCAGTACTGGGAATAAAGAAGAGACATAGCATAGATAATGACGCTTATAAAACTCCTGCGTGTCAGGCATAGGGCTCAGAGTTTAAAACAGATTATTTAATTCAATATGCCACGGAGGATAGGTATCATCATTCTCATTTTACCAAAGATAAAACAGGTCAGCAGACACTAAGCTGCTTAACTCAAGGTTATGAATCTAGTAATGGTCAATCCACTTTTCAGTTTTCCATAGAAGAGAATTCATCAATAACGTTTCTTCCATGAAGGAAATCATTCCCTCTGCCCATTTTTGTTGGTGCTTCAAACACCAGACAACCTGGAGTAGGCAGAATAAATATCCCTCAAATATATTAAGAAATATAAAAATAGAACGCATAGGAGCTAATATGTGTTATTCTGTTGTGGGGTGAATTAGGGAAAGTAGGGGTATTCTTCGTTTATTTTTTAAATTCTATAACTTTCTCCCAGTGTGATTTAATAGGCTCTAATCTAAGATAATTTCAGAAAATAAACATTTTAAGATAGGATCATAATTGTATATATTTAAGAGCAAAAACAATTGCAAGGCAGAGTAAACATTTAATTAAGTAAAATTATGCTTGAAACTATTCGTGAGAGAGCATGAGGTTGCAGAGTGTAGCTAGTGGATAAAGAAACTAGGGGTATTTTAGAGCTTCAGAAGTCAAGACACTGTGAATTTACTTTACATACATTACAAGTGAGAAGCATGGCCTTGCTGGGGTGGCTCAGTGGATTGAGCATGTCCCGAGGACTGAGAGGTCACCGGTTCAATTCCTGGTCAGGGCACATGCCCGGATTGCGGGCTCAATTCCCAGTAGGGGGCATGCGCGAGGCAGCCGATCATTGTTTCTCTCGCACATCGATGTTTCTATCTCTCTCTCAAAAAAAACAACACAAGTGACACTCATGCCAGTGAAGAGTGGGAAAGTTACTAGTGCCTGTCTCTTTCCTCCTTCCTGAATTGGCCACATGGAGTTCAGAGGAAGAACTCTAGAGTGTTCAAGGGCTTCAACATGAAGAGTGTGAGGGTATTAATGAGTGTCTGTACCTCATATTGGTGGGTGGCTAGGTAGTTAGAGGTTGACCATGGGGTCAAAGGAACAATTTGAATTGGCAAAGGCACAAAGAGCTTGGTTCTGTAAGGTCTTTGGCCTAGTGCAGTGGTTCTCAGTCGGGGTCAGTTTTGTTCCCTAGGAGATACTTGGCAATGTCTTGAACACATTTTTGATGGGCAGATCAGGGAATTGGAGCTCTGCACTGCTGGTACCCAGTGGGTGGAGGCTAGATATTGTTGAATATGCTACAGTGCACAGGACAGCCCTTCACCATAAAAAATTATCCAGCCCAAAGTATCAGTAGGTCCAAAGTCAGGGCACTCTGGCCTAGTAGTGTTTACACCATCCTGCTCCCCACTCCCTAACTCCCTCCTCAGCTTAAAGTCCCCAGTTGTAATAAAGAATTGGTCTTCAGATATGTGCTTTTAATTATAAATGATATTTTTTAGAGACAGGAGGATATAAGAGAGGGAGACAAGTGTTATTTAATTGCTTTTCACTGTGGGAATCTACATTCTGAGACTACAAAGCAAGCGAATGCATTTGCCAGAAAAGAGACTTAAGAAAAATATGCACACGTTTATGGAGCGTGTGAGTTGCCCGTAGGGTGAAAGACTAATGACTCAGAAATAATTTACAAGGCTTAGATGCAAAAACCAGAAAACACAGAAAGGCTTCAGATGGTTGAAAGCAAACTATAATTACGATACGCTGTCATACAATGTGCATGTCATGCAGTATTTTACAACTTTCATCCAAGGATCTGAAACCCTTAGCATATAAACTTCAACTGTCATGAAGAATCAGTCTCTCTCTCTCTCTCTCTCTCTCTCTCTCTCTCTCTCTCAAAGCTGCAGTTTCAAGCTTTCTCAGTGTAACCTAAAAATACTTGCTGCGCACCATGTGATTGTGGCTAACAGAAGGTGTAAGAAGGTGGAGTTGTTCTAACAGTCAGCTTCTCTTTGCTTTGACCTTTAGTGGTTCTGCAGTTCTGATGAAAAGCCTGCGTAGTCACTTTAGAAATGACACTGAAGATGTTGCTAGTCAGGGTGTACTCGATGGACTCTGCCTCATCATTTTTGGATAGAGAGAGGTGGGAACCAATGTGATCACAATACAGACCATTTTATCCCAATCTGTAAATAAAGTCTGCAAACTTCAGTCATTAAGAAAAAGAGAACTACTTGATATCATATAGAAAGTTTGAGCAGATTAATATAGGTCAGGTATACTGTGTTAAATTGATAGCCACCTAAGTTTAATGCAACAATGATAAGAAGTTTTTCTAATTGCAAAAGTAATTTGTGATTATTATGAAAAATTAGAAAATATAGAAAGGAAGTAAGAAGCAATGGAAATAATCATAAGAATTTATAATCTTGGTGCTCAAAGATAACCGTACTTTGTCTTTTCATAAAGCACAACTTAAAAAGACAGTTTTTGTTTCATTTCACAAATAAATGTCTGTGTCTATTTCTTTACCAAACCACAAAGCCGTTGTGAGATGCATTGCCCGAATAAATGACGGACAAAACTTTATATGTTTGTTTTTTATATTAATTTGAATG